TTTTTGGTCAGTAGCTGGTAACATTTACAACCCATTTTAAAGTGCTGAAGTCTAAAAAACCACTAGCCTGCCTTTTTTGGGTGCACACAATCAACAGGTTTTCCTTTGAGCTAAGGCTCGAAATCCAGTTTCAGGATAGGTAGGAAATGGGTACAAGTTTTCTTGTGAATCTGACTTTCAGAGTTCTCCACCTTCCCATAGAACAAAATACTAGAAAATGTTCAGTGCAAAATTTAGGATTGAATTCATTGAGTTGGACAGAGCTGAGGAGTTCCATGAAAAATTACATCCAAGGTGAGCTTTGGGGAGCTTTCATTATTTAGCAGTTATCAGGGATTTTTGCAGTATTTGGGAAATGAAATAATTATGAGCCATGAACAGAGGACACATTTTTCTTTCATCACTGATTGCTGATAATTTTCACTAGTCCATACTACTTTAAATATATTGACATTTGATGTTTAGATAAGCATAGGAAGGAGGGATTTTTCTTTCCGTATATGAACATTTTTTTTAACCCTCTATGATAAGGCATCCAAAATGCAGGATCTAATGCTAGACCTATCTGGAATGATGTTATTCTTTATATGTTGTGGCTTTAAGTGCCTTCAAAGAAGCAGTATGTAGGAGGTTCTTTGTCTTTAATATATATGAAATTAGCAGTGCATATTTATATTGTTGTGATTTGGACAGGAATTGTATTTTGGTATTTACTTTTTTTCTGCTAGCATGAACTTGCTGCTAAAAGCAGTGAATAATCTGAAGAAACAAAGCATCTGGCGTTTCTGAAGATCATTCTTTGCTGCCACACAATATACAAGCATTTAGGCCATTATGTTTAGGCTGTTGAGGAAAAAAATATTAGAGTAGTGGAGCATAGAAAAAACACCAAAGAGAGACACAAATATGTGAGTTCATTCCAGCAAGTGTTTGAGCAGCTGTAGACTTCATATTTAGTTCTGAAAAGGTCCATGTGGAATTCTATTCAGAATTTTAAATATGTGCCCAAATACGGTGTCTCCTGATGAAGAAAATAATGATTTTTCCACTTCCTTGATAGTTTTCCTGACTGTGTTCACATTTCCACCTCGTGACCAGGGTTTGTTTGCTGTGGCTTTACATAATGGCACAATTACTTGGGAGTAGCCTCCAAAATCTCAGGCAGCTCTTCCCTTGCTACACTCATTTTTCAGCTTATTGCCTCCTTGGCTGAGCTGGAATCAAATCAGGTTTGGTTATTACGTCTCTCCCAGGCAGGATTTGAATCCACCATGTGCTGGAGACACAAGCCTCAGTGCTTCCTTTAGTATTTGAGCTCTCAATTTAACTTGGGGAAAAGTGGAGATTTCAGTATGTGTGTGTTTGGAGTCTATTAGTGCTAAAGACATCTAGGAGTCTCTGAGAATTGCTAAACTAATGGACTGCCTGCAGCCTGACAGCGCAAAGTGCCTTCAGCTCCCTATAAATTACATGAGTTTTCTGTTAAAGCAGCAGTCAGGACTTCCATGCAGCATAACTGGCCTGCTTTAGCAGGTTTTTAGCTAAAATGGGTCATGTCAAGTGGTCTGCAGTCAAATGAACTCTGCTGGCATTCACATTCATAGATATCAGGTATAAATTACCTTTGATTTCAGAGGCTGCTAGGAAAAAAATGAGCCTATGTGCAACTAAAAGGGTGGATGACATTTTTATGTACTTGACAACAGAGAAAACAGGATGCTGTGACAATGTATTCAGCAAAGTCAGGGTTAAATGAATCTGTCATTTGAAGTTGTATTAATTTAGGTGTGCTCATCCTGTCACTGAATGTTCCCAAGTGCTTCATTTTTGAGTGTTTCAGTGGATCCCTTTTCTGTGCCATCCTCATAAATTAACAGGGATGGATGTTTCTCTGTGGTGTGCAGGCATCTGTGCAGATAAACGGGCTGCTCAGCTGGGAGCCACCTCAGAAACACAACCTGGGAATTCTCTGGCATTGGAAGAGAATTAAGAAGTTAGGCAGAAATATTCCATTTGAGATTGCTGATAGGGTTGTAAGATTTTTCTTGACTTGTTTGAGTGAGTCAGAACAAATGCATCCTTGTAGTTGAATTTATTTTTTGTTAGTACCTTTTACTTTCCTGGGTGTGCACCTAGAGAAACACTCCTAAACAAGGTTACCTTCCTGCTTGGAAAATTCCTCAAACTGTGAAAAAGGGAAGGGAATATCTTGACATTTTCATTCCGCTTGCTAAAATTCATATAATTCTTGGAATGTTTTCTCATTTTGCCAGATCTGGGGGAAGGTTTGCCTTGTGTCAGATCTTTTGGGAATGTTCCCTCTGCAGCACAGTGGTACAGCAAGGGCTTTCCTCCAGCAGTGGCAGCAGCTGGGCTTGGGAGGCAGCATCCCAGCTGATTCGCCCCAGGAAAAGAGCAGGGAGAAGGAGCTGAGGAGAGAGGCCTATAAATACTGCATGGCTGCAGCTCTGCTGCTCCCTGAACCAAGTTACTGCTGCTACAGTGCATTCTGCAAAAATGTCACATCCCTTCACTGCTCAGCACTGAGTCAGGTGGAAATCACCAACTGCACCGTTTGGCTTGGCTTGGCTTGGAGTCACCCTGGTGTTTTAGAGATGGATTTGATCATGAAAATGGCTTGTGTGACTGTGCTGTCAGCCTTTTCTCCCTTCCTTATGCATCTCCTTCCACTTGCCAATGGCTCTGGAATTTACTGCTCAACTTCAGCCAAACACTAAAGGATCAGAAATCCCAGAAGGTGTTACATTTCCACAAACATGTTAGTGGGTGGTCAGGTGCAGGAGAGAACCCCACTGGAGTTCCCACAGAGGGAAAAGTACCTTGCTTATCATGGCTGGTGTTCTTCCAGAGGGATGAGCCTGTGCATGGCCTCTTGCCTGGCCACACATGGAAATGATGTCTGGAAGGGAAACCTCCTGCAGGAGGAAGTGCTGGGAATGTGCAGTAATCAAGGCTTTCACAACACATAGATTTATTTAGGGATGTAATTTATTTAGGAGGTTCTGAGACAAAGGGGAGTTTCTGCTCCACTTATCCTGTGCTTGAGGAGAGGGAAAAGCAGGATCTGGGAGGGAACTTGATTTTTGTCTGCCAGTGGGTGTTAAGGGAATCCTTTAGCAGAAATAGAGGACAGTTTCTCACTCTTCCAGTGACAGTGCCTTTCTCCACCATGTAGCATACTCAGTCTCAATAAGAAGTCAGGATTGGCACCATTAATTTGTTTTCCTATGAATATGCAGTATATAAATACTCTAATTTAAAGACCTTCCCTCATCTCTTGGCAAGCCACAGGCTTACAAGTTGATTTCCTTATCCTTAGGGTTAGCTCTGGACAGCACAGTGAAAAATAAGTCAATGTGCAAAATGTGAAGTGGAATCATGCTGCTGGGTAATTTTTGTAAATAGAAGAGTTTGGCTTCCACAAGAACCAGCTTCTGGCATTCCCCTCTATGCCACAATCAAGTTCAAGCTGCTGCTGTGGTATTACCTTTATTCAGTCTGACCAAGATGTAGATCTTTCCTAAAGGCAACAAAGCCTGGTCTTGGAATATGTTGAGCTGATGTGTCAGCATTTGAGAGCAGCTTTGGAAAGTTTCCTCTCTGATACATCAGTCTCAGCTTCTTCTTCCTATCTCTGAATTCATTTAGAAACTGAAAGCTGGTGTGCATAAAAGATAGAATTCTAAAGCAGAAGCAGTTGATCCCATTTCAGAGACTAAGAAAACCTGTTAGGTCAGTTTATTTTGCTTTACTTTCAACTTGCTGACTTCTTTCCTTGCACATATTCTGGTTTTTGCCTTCTGAGAAACAGCTGCTGAACTTTTTACCTACCTTTCCTATAGCCCCAGTGATCATGGAGATCACATTTTTATCTCCCACCCTAAAAATGCAAAACCTCAGGGCTTAATCTCAAACGCAGCTGACACTGGTACAAAATACTGTAGTTCAGTGTGGGAAATGTCCTTCAATAGTTTCTTTTGTTGCTGCTGAAAGAACAAAATCACACAGGTACTGGAGACAGATATGCAAGTATTTTCTTCCTACTCATAACATTTTGGATAGCAATGTTTACTTTTAGTGAAATATGTCAAAGTCTATATTTAAAATAAAGAATGGGCTCAAATACACTGAAAGTATAATAATTCAGCAGTATTTTCTGATGGAGAACCATACAGCTGAGTATAACAAAAAGTAGAGTTAGTCAAACTTGCAGTTGCAGTGGAAATACCTGGATTTTTCCCTTCCATTTATATCTGTAAAAAGAGGAAAATATGTAGCAGAAAAGAATTTTGTTTAGCATGAGCTTCTAATCATCAATGACAGCAGTGAAATTTGAATCCAGTCATGCACACTTGAGAGCACAGCTAGATATGGATACCTGGATGCATGCTATGTCCAGAGCTGGACTGGGATGCTCAGCACATGTTTGCTGATTTGGTGAATCTCTTTGGGGGCCTGCAGACAGCAGACTCTAATTTCAGGATCTCAGGTGGACTTGGAGAGGCAAAACCAAGCATTTTGCTGCTTGTAGTTGGGCTGTTCAGCAGATGCACATTCCTGGGATGCTCAGAGCTTTGGCAAGACTTAAATCAAGGAAGATGTTTGTGGGAAACAGCAGAGTAGCACCTTTCACCTTCTGTCAGATCTGGCCTGAAATGATGTCTTTCTTGATAACCAGAAGAGCCTATTTTTGTCTCAGTGCTGACTTCATACTGCTAGAAGCACTCTGGAGTGAGTGAAGCCATGGCAGGCTCTGCCCTTGCAAAGCTATGCATAATATTTATGTTAGGAATATGAGGAATACTTCGGAAATTTGCAATGTAGTAAAATTCCTCTCTCCTTCTCCCATCAAAATCTCCTTTGTGGAGAAAAAAATCTCCTTGAGCATTTCTGCTTTATAGCATTTAAATAGGGTGGCCATTGGGTTACAATTTCTTTCTTCAGCTATAAATCTTTATATCTTTCTGTGTTTTCTTCAGGAATCTGAGATGAAAGAGAACTAGATTCTGATGATCATCTTGACACTGTTGCTGTCACCTGCACTGACAGGTAAGTGTGCCAAGCTGGTTTTGGAGTGAAAATGTTTGAATTATTTGTGTCAGGTGGGCAAAGGTACAGTTACACTCCAGAACCTCAACCGTGGGTGGTGCTGGATTCTGCAAAGGTGAGTTTTTCAACAAACAGGTGGTCAAAAATGCTTCCAAAATCTTATCTCCAGAAAGGAAACTGTTCCTCCTGCTTTATAGTGGTGGGTGGGTTACAAAAATGAACCCAGAGCAGAGGAATTTGCAGTTGAATTGCAGCCTGGAGTGAAGATGGCTGGAAGACCTTGTTGACTTTTATCCTCCTCCTCTCCAAAGTACCTGAAATATGAACTACCAGGTAGACTGAAGTTTTCATACTTGTGTTAGACATGACAACCTCCCTGTTTTTATCTAGGAGCAATTTGTTAATGAGATCCCTGCAAATTTGCAGCTGATGTTAGGACTGGATGAAGAATTTCTTGGATTTTGTACAGTTAGGTGAGAACTGATGGAATTGAGCCTTTTGTGGTGCAGCCCAATCATATTTCTTTTATTTCTTTTACCTTACCTAAATGCTGCATTTTCAGTGTTTCCTATTACTAAGGACTTCTAGTCCCTACATTTATTATAAATGTCTATCTTTGCTTTTCTCTGATTCTTTCAAAACACAGTCTAAAAAGTTTTGGCAGCACTCTGGAGATCACTTAGAACTTCTTATGCAGAGCAATTTCTTGAAGTAACATCACTTTCTTGGCTTCCAGTTCAATCATTACAAAATAAATTGAAGCATGAAACTCAGGAATCAGAAAACTAGAATAAAAAGGACACTGATGGAAACTTAGGTTTCCTTTGGTGAAGCATAATGCTTCTGTATGATCTGAAAACTAAAAAACTCATTTTCTCTGTGAAAAAAGTAACTGAAGGTGCCTTTTCTTTCACTGGCTGCTGCAGGTGTCTGTGTCAATGTGCATTTATGAACACAGATCAAGGATTAGATAGTGAGTCCTAACAGTGCCTTTGGATGAGCACTGGAAGGAGAATGAAAATACAAAAATTATGTAAAATGTGTCAGATGGATTGCTGTAAAGTGTGTGGTGACATGAAGCAGTATAATTTGGATCAGTAGTCTGTAAAAATGGAAAAAGGAGAAAGAGATTTAAAAAATGTGTTTTCCTCAAAGCTCAGCCCACTGAATTCCTAGCTTATCAGGACATTTAATAATTGACTGACTGCTTCTGTGGTAGGGCCCCTATCAAAGCACACCAATCTAAAGAGAAACAGCTGCACAAATTTGGATATTAAGTGTTATGTTTGACAATGTGTTGAGTTGATGGGAATAACTGTCTTCTATTGGCTGAAATGTTTAAATTTGCAGGGACATCTTCCACGATCTCACAGGATGCCCCAAGCCCCATCCAGCCTGGCCTTGGACACTTCCAAGGGTCCAGGGGCAGCCACACCTTCTCTGGGCACCCAGTGCCAGGCCCTCACCAGCTCCTGAGTAAAGAATTTCTTCCTGATCTAAATCTCCTGTCTTTCAGTTTAAAACCATTCCCCCTTGTCCTGTCATTATCTGCCTGTGGGAAAAGCCACTCTCCTTATTTTATATAAGCCCCCTTTAAGAAGCATGTAAGAAAATTCAGCTGATATGGAAAAGTGGTCACACTCCATGTGTGACTGAAAAACCAAATGGAGAAGTTTGGATTTATTAAGAACTACGGAAAACTTTTGAGGTGAGGCAGCTAGTGATGACAGGTGTGAAAAAAACCCCAAAACCTGATGCGGTTCTGCCAGGGCCTGGGTTAACTCTGAGAACACTCTGGCTCGCTCTGCCCCAGGAGTGAGGAACAGCCTGGGTAGGGTTTGATCCCAGAGCTGAACTTTTTGAGCCACAAGCTCAACAAAAGCAGGATAATGACCACAGTCAGGATCAGGTAAAGGAGGAGGAGGAAGCTCTCTGTTTGAAGTTCTGGAAACAGGTTTATTGCTGAAGAGGATCAGGGACAGAAGAGCCCCAAGCACTGCTGTGCTTGGGATTTTATATAGCAGCAACTCAATGGGAGGGTACAAACAAACAGCCAATGGGGAATACAGGATGGAGGAACAAGGGCAGGGGATTACAATGCAGGGACCAACAGGGATGAGGGGGAGGAGAGGACCAGTCATGCAGGCCAATGGGGCCTTGAGGGTTAGGGGATTGACAGGGAAAGATCCAGAACAAAGGGCAGGGTTTACAATGATGGACAAGGGGTAGGGGCAGGGTAGCGGTGACAGGCAGGGAAAGTTCAGGAATAAAGGGTTGGGTCTACAATGATGGGCATGTGAGGGGAGGATACAACTCTTAGGGCTAAACCAACTCGGGAGGAACCTGGGTCGTACAAGAATGAACTGTATAACTGACAAGCTTAAACATACAACTGCAAATAAACACTTGCTGCAACAAAAACCAACTGCAAGGGAAGCTACATAAAAGCTGTGGGAAAACATTAAGCAGACATAAAACCTAACAGCAAATCTCTTTTTAATACTTCTTTTATTTAAAAGCATGAAAAAAAAAAGTATTTCTAGTTTTATGTTAATGCTGAAAAGGCTTTTCTTGTGTGGGCTCTGCCTCCTTCATTCCTGAAAATGACAAAGCAGAGAGGAGGTTTTGTAAATCTCATTAATGAGTATGTCCTGAAGAGTTTGGTTCACATGATGGGCATAATTACTGCCTTCCCTGCTCAGCTGCATTACAGGGAGAACAGAGCTGCCTGGATGCTGTTCCTCCCCTCTGACCAGGTGCAGACACAGTTAGCTTTGGCAGCATCAGCAGCAGCATCAGGAAATGAGCTTTGCATCACAGCTGTTCCCACCAGCAACCCACCTGAAGACACCAGAGGAGCAAAGCGAGGGGTGCCTCTTACAGGGTCATCCCAGCCCCCAGTTTTATAGAAACCCAGGAGCCTTTCCAAGCACAGTGTTCCTGGGCATTACTGCTTGTCATTCCTGGGAAGTCATGGTTACACGTGGGTGTCCTTCACAAAGGTTCTGTCAAATCCACTATAGCTCCTTTGCAACTTTTAATAAAATCTTTTCCTGAATACTTTCTCTGTGGCAGAAAGTGATAGTAGTATGCCTGGAGTGTAAGTGATGCTGGTTTTCTCATTAAGATTATTTTCTATCCTGATTCAATCAAATTTCTTTTTTTTTTTTTTGAAAGTGCTTTTATATTCAGTTTGCATATCTTGATTAGACTGTGATAATTTCCATGGTTGAAATCTCCAAAGTGTGCTGTCAAGAAATTATAAATGGTAATGAATTCACTTAATTAGGACTTCCAGGAGTACAATCAACATGAAATCTAGTAAATTAGAAAGAAATCTGTTTAAAGTATTTCTGGTTTTCCAACAGCCTCATTTGAGGCCTTACGTTACCTGGGACTGAATTAGAGACCTACACAGACAGGTAGAAAATACACTTTGTAAAAAATCACTGTAAAGAGGTATAAATGAATCCAGAAACTTAGGTGTGGCTGAAATTTGACTGAATCTCCATTATAAACTAAGTTGCACAGTCACCAGCTGGAGAAAAGTTATGGTACCAGCTGTGACTTGACACTCTTCAGATCCCATCTTGCACCATGTTTCCAGATCTGGACCCACCACAGAACAGGAAAGATATGGACAAACTGGAGCAGGTTCAGGGGGGCCACCAGGGAAAAGGAGGCTGGAATATTGTCCTGCAAGGAGAGGATGAGGTAAGCCTGGAAAAGAGCTGGCTTCAGTGAGATTTTCCAGGCAGGATTGGATAAAAGCATGAGCAACCCAAGCAGATCTCATTGCTGGACCTCCTCTGAGCAAGAGGTTGAAATAAAGACCTCCAGAGACCCCTGTGACCCAAATGACTTGGTGATTCTCTGAGTCTAAGGCACAGCAAAGAATCCAGGTCATTGTGTCCAGGGAGGCTGATTTCATTTTGATTCTGCATTGAGAGAGGGATATTTCAGAAAAACAGCTTTGTTGGTATCCTAAACTGTGTCTGAATTAAAAATATTGCGAGCATTTAACCCTGGGTGATTTAGCATGCTATTTATTTTTAATATTAAATTCCAAACTAAACCTGAAATTTAAATACCAAAAACTGGAAGAGTTTATGAATCTGGATTTTGACACAATAACTTCCTATCTTTTGTTTCCCTTCTTTTGCCGAATGGTCACAAACATGGATCTCATTCTGTTTTCTTCTTGCCAAAGAAGTGATATTTTATTTCTTGAGCTGTTTACTGAAGGTAATAATTAAACCTTGGTAATCAATGAGGGAACTGGCTCTTTTAATCAGTTTAATTGGGTTGATTGCCTAATTTTTGTCTGGCTATAATTTGGTAGAAATTAGTATCGTATCTGTATAATGAACTGAATCAAAAATATCAAAGGTCAAGAAAATAAATTATTTCTCAGTTATTCGACGGAGTCACTGTGCTGCCTGGGTCAGTTTGGCAGGTCACTTAACCTTTCTAAGCCTGCAGAAATTTTTTCCAGTCTACCATCACCAACCTTCATCTAAAAAACCCTAAAGAATGTCCTTGGTTGTGCCATGATCACAGGCTGGAGTGTAAATTAAAGCCTTGGAGTATAAATTATGCTTACCTTGGGCTGGAAAATAGCCGGGGAAGATGCAGGTAAGGTCAGCAGAGTTCCTTTTTCAAAATTGCTTCTGAAAAAAAAAAAAAGGGAAGTTTTTCTGCAATTAAGAAAAGCCTAGAGACTATTTAGTCCTGGCAAACAGGAATATTCACTGCAGACAGACACAGATGGGCAGAGGGATGGTGAGGACAAGGCACGTGGCTGTACTTGCAGTACTTGGTGTTTGGCTAAACCAAGGGCTGCTCACCTGCCCCGTTTCTCTTCCATCCTTTTTGGGTCACTGTTTGTTTGTTGTTTCCCCCTGGATTAAGGAAAGAAATGAAGCTGATGTGAAGGCCAGGGAAAATCTCCCCCTACAGGCTCTTTGGCAGAGGACTGGCCCAGAACAGCAGACCTGGAG